TAGTAGTAGTAGTAGTAGCAGCTACAACTGCTGCTACGACTACGACGACTATTAGTACAACTGCGACAAGAGGTAGGGGTAAGCGGTAAGCGGTACTATCAAACGCGGAAGTCGTGCGGGGAATGGCGAAACCCCTTTACAGAAGCAGCGCTTTCCCATCTAGACGCACCACCGAACATACGCTCAAACCAATCGAAAAACAGTAGCCGCATCCCCCATTGTGGATTTGCTTTGGGTGGTCTGTCACGATACTGCTCTTTGTACTAGGACATTACCTCAAAGCTCGTTTAGGCCCAGCCAGGACCACGCGGTATGATTTTGTATGGTGTCTGAGAACACTGATATGGGAGCAACAGGTTCTCCTGGTTGCCTATACCACCACCACCACTAAGTACGAGTTGCTGCCGTTGGTTTCGTTTCGAAGCGGTGCCCGAGTGCCAAGAAGTAGTACTTGTTGCCGTTGCCTCCAAATAGGATTCAGTGATTCTGTGTTCGCGCAATTTCCGCTCCTGCATGCTAATGATTAGGCTCTTTCTGTGAATGGCAATGTAGCCAGCGCAAATGAAACAATCCCTCCCAAAAAAGTTCTTCCCCCAAGTACTGCCACCTGCAGAAGACGCACAACGACTTTGTTAGCTGGGAGAAAAATTCAAGCGCAACCCGCGCAGGCAGGTGTGGATGAAATGGCTTGCAAAACTCGTGTATGGTAGATGGTCGATCGCGACGCCAGCAAACCCAAACTACACGCAATTCGACAACGACTTCATGGTTTGGTTTCCCCAAGTACTGCTGCATGCAAAAGGTTCCGGTCACACTTCTCACAGTAAGCGGGTAAGAGGTAGCGGTAGCGGCGGTGGTGGAGTGGTAGTGCTAGTGGCAGGGGTAGGTGGTCGTGGTTTTTGTCGAGGTGGTGACTATGGTTGTCCGTTTCTCCTCACCAATGTGTTTAGGTTTTGAGTGTTCAAGATGCAGTTTGTTCAGGCTCTCACTCTGGATTTACGGTATGTTGTTTATGGGGTGTGTGATTCGGGGTCGCTGTTTCAACAACTGCAAACCAGAAAGGTGTGTCTGCCTGCAAGTCAGCGCGGATCAAAACCGTGAAGATCCATTTCAACACCTTCATGACACCCGAAACTTAAACAAATCTTACTTCACCCCTAAAAACACTCAAGCATTGGACCCGAAAGCATCTAACCAAAGCTTGAACCCTGAGTGCTGCCTGCTTCATCATCATTGCATCCTATACATGTGCCCTAGAAGCAATCCAAGTGCGACGTGCCAGGCCGAAGAGGCTTCGGATGTGGAAACCTCCGCAAATCTACACGGAAACCCTCGCCTGTGCAAGACAATATTACCACAGTGCTATGGATTATGTAAGTATCGGTTACTGTCCGAAAGGTTTGCGAGATCGCGGATGGAGGAGTGAGACATGACGGACATGTACCGGGTAGTGTGGGGAAATATGACAAACGAGATGGCTGGTGCAGTGGACTTTCGAATCTCTTTGCGCCAAGTAGCGGTCCGATAGCCGCACAGCAGCCTCAAGAGCCACACGCAGAAAAACTTAAACTTTGCTTATCATTCGGCCCGATTCGCAAGGGGTCCGAAGTCTGCGCACACTGGCAAGGTTTGGGAAGGAGGGATAAGCGGAGGCTTAGGACAAGTCAACGGAAGACCCCGGCCTGAAGAGCTTCTGGTGTCAGGAGAACTCCATGATGGGCCTGCGCTGTTAGTTTTGCGATCGTTGATGCATGGCGTGAGATGTTGAGCCCGTGTAATTCACCTTCCTAGAGACCGGCCTCGTACGCAGGGCGGAGTCCCTCCAAGACCTCGATGCTCTCGGCCACCTTGGGCTCCTCCAACACGGGCTGCGCACAAAAGTATTCCCAATGCAACACCAACACGTGGTAGACGAAACTGCGAACTGGACAGCCGTTGTGCTTCTTCTTGCAAGCTCACCTCGCAGTTCACGCGCTGGAATCGGCGCTCGAGCGCGGCATCCTTCTCGATATGCTTCGTGTACCTGCTCACACACTGAGCATGTGATGCCGGAACCAGCCAGGCATGGGTGCACAACTGCCCCCTGTCGTGTCCCAGCGCACTCATCTGCTGTGGTTGCCCCAATCACCTGATGTCTCACTGTGAGATTCGCGGTTTCGAAACACCTCAAGCGCCAAGATACCCTGGATCCCGATCCAGCAGTTACTGATGATAAGAGTCCTAGTAAGAGTATCAGTGAGCAGGACAATTATGGAAGAAGTAGTATACAGTCTCTTGACAAGAGAGCAGAGGCAACGGCTTGCAGCTCACCACGTGCAAGCGAGGGTTTCAGAAGGTTGGCCGCGTCCATGGAGGAGTCTGCACCTGTCTTCAGGCTTCAAAGACCTACTGGTAGAGCAGAGAGGTTGCAGTTCTCATTACTTCACCTACTGTGCGTCTTCTTTCTTCTTCGCAGTATTGCTCGTTCGTGATATGGTAAAGAACAGCTACCATGGCCACTAGAGATATTCCTGAGCATTGCTTCTTCACTCATGGCTTTACGAGATTTTGCCGCTATTGACAGCCACCCCTGCAGCGCACTTGACTTTTTTGTCCAATCGCCTGCCTTTTTTCCAATGCACTAGGGTCGACCCATAGCCTGCTTTCGAACCCTTGCTGACCGAGAACTAGTCATTCGACAGGTCGGTCGGTAGGCAGGCAGGCAGGTAGGTAGGTGGCAGGTAAGTAGGCAGGCAGGCAGGCAGGCAGGCAGGCAGGCAGGCTGGCAGGCAGGTAGGTCTGTCTGACTGTGTGTCTGTTTGTATCTAAATATATATGCACATACTTTGTATAAAATATTATAGGCACACA